TGTCTTCATTTGAAAGGAGGAAGGTGTTATTTCTCAAATGAATTATTAAACATCCGACCCGCAGGCTGGGATTTATGAGTTCTGAGACACAGAGGCTACAAAGGACAATCAGATCGGCTTCTGCTTTGAAATAAAACAGAATCTGCTGATCTGTTTTCATGAATTCAGCAGTACAGTATGAATGAAAGCTCATCGCAAAAGGCTGGCAGGACTACAACTGTCTCGCCATTTCAAACACAGAAACAAAAGCTAATGACGACGTGAGAGGTTTGCTTTTGAAATTAGACTTAATTTAGTTCCAACACTTAATCCAGGAGTTGTTTTATCACTTGTAACGACAGAACCTTCTGAATTTGGCAGGTTCGCTCTTTTTTGTAACTTGTCCAATAATTAAGCTAATAATGTTGGCGCATAAAAGCTAAATTTAAACTAAAGGAGTAAAGTACATGAAAGATTGAGTTACTACCATGCAGCTATGCAAAGGGATGGTAGGTTCCTAATGCGTGTGGTTGAAATGTTTGTTACCTTGTGGGTGTGTCGGTTGTGGCAGCCATCTTGGAACCCTGCTCAAACCCAGCTGTTTTATAGAAAGAGCTGGAGTTTAATTGGTTGGAGCTTAAAGTAGTTAAAAGAATGAAGTGTTTTCTAAATTGTGCATTTGCATACAGAAAACATCTGCCTGCTATTTTACTATTGATAAATAATTGCTAGTGTTTACATTGTGTATGTGAAAGTTAACTTTGTTTCCTCTTTTTTCCTCACTCTGGAAGGCTGAGGTGATTGGCCGATGTAAATTGATTAGGCGGGGTTTAAACAGTATAAAACTGATGGCTGCCATTTGGTAAATCTGCTGTGTTGCACCAGACTTAATAAACCATCTTTATTTGCTGTACAGCTAAGATCGACTGACTTGTCTTTCCATACCAAAGAAGGGTCATGTTATTGGTGCCAAGCAGAGAAAACGTCTAAGGATATTGTTAAAACAACTAACATTGAGTTGAGACCCGTTCAATATATTACTAAAAACTGGAAGGACCATTTTTAGTAATATAAAAACGGTCCTTAAGGAAAACCACATTTCTTCTGCAGAAATGTGGTTGTGGGAGGAAACAAACTCCTAAATGACCACAATAGGTTTTCACATGAACATTTGGCGCCATTTAAAAGTAACTGTTTCTAACGGTGTTAAAGAACAACAATGGTAGCAGTCAGAGTTATGTTTAATAGTGAAAGAAGGAGCACTTCCACAATGTGAGAGGAACTCGAGGGTTTATGACTGAACAGATGTGTAGTCATAAAACCACCAATCAGTCAGGCGAACCAGAGGAAAAAAAAACTTTAATTTGCAAAACAGCGTAAAAATTGGACTCTAGAGAGATGGAAGACGGGTCATGTGATCTAATGAGCCCAGATTTACCCTCTTCCATACTACCTGGCTCATCGGGGTATCCAAGACAGGCAGATGAAGTGATGAATCCATCATGCATAATTTCTACTGCAGCAGCTATACGATCTGCCGTTGCTGCTTTTGGTTCAGCCACACTGTAAGATCACCTGACTTGAATGATCAGGTTATTTCATCAATAGGCTGTTTCTTCTCTGATGACACGGGAATTTTCCAGGATGACGATGCAGTTTCAATTGGCTGAAAGTGTGAGCAAAAGTTTAGAGCTGAAGTCTATAGAGAATCTTTGTGACGTTCTGGAGAAACTTTGCTCAACGGTTAGCCTCTCCCATCATCAATACAAGAAAAATTAATGCAACACTGGATGGAAATAAATCTTGTGACATTGCATAAACTTATTGAAACAATGCTAAATGAAATATTAGAGCGTGACCTTTCTTTCTCTTTTCTTTTGGCCAGGCAGTGTATATCTGGTGGGATGTTGTCAAGTTATCCGAGATGCATTACAAATGTAAAATTCTCATGTTGTCCACATCTGCATATGACCTGCGCCAGGAATGTCACCCTTCCTCACTCGCATGCTGACTATGCAAACCAGGGATGATGGCGCCTGTCCAGGTCTCACCTCTTTGCCTCTGTTGCTTCTCCCAATATGATTCTCAAGCGCGAGTCGCTCAGGTCTCAAGGTCATTGCGTTTGATGGGATTGTGCTTCTTTGCACGCCCTTGGAGTTTATCCTTCTCGAGCTTCAAGGCGGGACGGGTTGGCCCCTCTCAACGAGGCATTCCGCACAGAGCGAATCCTCCTGCTTCTGTCCCACGGCAACAGCGTAGATCATTCTGAAGGTGACAGAGAGCCTTGTATGGGGATAACAAGGCCTGGGGATGCATGCCGCACCAAACTGTGTGTCACAGCCATGATCTGTGGACAGAGCCGCCCTGTATCGATTGCATCTTTGCCCCTGGGAGACATAAAAATGTGTGCACGCACACCCAGCAGGCGAGGTTATGAGGAATGTTACGAGAAGCTGCAGCAGTGCATAAATCACTCTTATTAATTACAATGATAAAAGCTGAACACTGGGAAAGAAAAATATGATGGGGAGCTGAAACTGGAAGACATTATAAGGCTCACAGGGCTGCAGCAGCTTGAAAAGGCTGCTGTTACTCATTTACGCTCTGTTGGTGCGTTTCTGTATTTTGATGTTCAATAAGACCAACTTGAATACTTGTAAAGGTGAAGCTGCAGTGATCACAGGTCAGGAGGGACATTTGTAGGACTGATGTCTTCCAGTCACATCCAAGGTAACAGCATTCAAGTTAAGAAGCTGGAATTTAAAATATGGTGGCATTGTTTGCACTACCTCTTACAAACATCATTTACTTACCATTGGCAAACCCCACTTTTAATTTGTTCAGTTTAAAGTTGCAGGCGCCACATTGATTTTAACGACATGCTTACACGTGTATCTTGTAAAGTAAAAATCTTTCCACCACGTTTTACTGCTATCGATGCAGGAGCGGCCATTTTGAAAGTCGTAAGTGGAGGTAGTCTGAGCTGGTCTCTCTTTCCTAGCGGGAAATCTGACTTTGGAGGACGATCAAATTGATTTTTCAGACGTAGAAATCAGAATTTCCCAGTTCTGAGTGCAACTGGAACACAGCGTGAGATTTGGATTGAGAAATAAACTCTGGGAAGGATTAGGGTTATGGTCCCTGTGAGCAAGACGCTTGAACCTTCCAGACAAGAATGTCCTCAAAGAAAGTCATATTTTATCAATTCAAACATTATTGAAAATTTCATTTATTTCTATATATATTTTTGTTGGTCTTGGGTAATATTTTAATTTCCTGAGAAGTATATTTTTAGGTTTTCATTAAATGTCAGTGATAATAATCAATATTAGCAGAAATAAGCATCCCTTACTGCAATGAATCCTCTGTATTTAACATATTATTTTTAAAGTTTTGACCAGGATTATTGGAATAAAGGAACATTTACATGATACATCGAAGTATGAAAAATTATCCCAAACAGGACAATGCATATTTTCACCTACACACACAGTTTCCTTCTTGTGCATCACTATGACAGACTGAAAACTGTCCTGCCCCACATTTAATACCAGCACTGCAATTTCCTGAGTAGCAATTACAAAAAGCTGCTATCTGTCTGTTTACAGACTGATAAGCTTTTGCTGTCAGCAGGTAGTTTTTCTCCTTTTAACAGAATGACCGGCTATGGAGGGGAAATGGATCCAAAAATAAACCATAAATCTGGGGAGGGAAATGCACAGCGTCTCCAAAGGGTGTGCAGGTGAAACCACGATAAATCATTTCAGAACTATTTTTCCACTTTTAATGGCATTTATTCTGTATAATTCAGCTTTAAAAAATGTTAGAGGGGAAATATATATTAAAAAGTTGCGACAACCTGCTTGTATTTCATGATTGTACACACCTCTAAGCTAAGACTTAGTCCAGTTTTTTGATTCTGTTTCAGCATTCAGGAAATGTGTGTGAAGACAGACTGTATCTTGTTGCACTCTGACTTCAGTTTTTACTGTATACTGTCATACCTAAGGGAACATTATTTATTAAAGTATAAAAAGTAGCTAAGTTCAACTTAAAACATCTTGCAAAATTATTGATAAATTGACATTCTGTTTTTCTTCATTAATTGCAGGTGGAAACTGCAGTTAATGAAGAATGTGTGTATGTGCATTTCAACAATGAGTTTGTTTTATCCTGGCAAAATAGTTTGCTTCTGACTTCATAATAGTTTGATAATGACTTAATAGTTACTCTGATAAAAGAGGGAAAGGAAACCGGCTCTTTTCCAGAACCAATTCAGAACTAAATCTGTACCAGCCCTGGTTGAGAACAGGAACCTCTTTGGTTCAAACTACTGTCTGCAACCTTTCTGTAGAGCCGCCCCAACTATTAACAAATACCTAAATTACACTACAGTCCAACACCAATCGCTTAAAATAGTCGCCATACTAACCAACAGCAAAAGATCCTGACTCCCAATTGACCGCATGCATGTAAAGCAATAGAAAACTTTTCAAGATTAGCTGTCCGTTGTTGCTACATACTAATGAAGGGGGAGTAAATGCTTTAAATCAACAACTCGATGTCAACTGTTGGGTTTCGGTTGACAAACATTTTTTTTAGTGACTGCATTAATCAGCGTCATTGCTTTTAAACTTGGGGTTTAATTTATCAAACTTTTGTGTAATCAGATTGTGTGGTGCAGATTTTCTACCCAGGTCCCTCTTGTAAAGGAGATATGGATTTCAATGGGATTATACCTGGTTAAATAAATAAATAAATAAATAAATATGAATAACCAGTCTCAACAATAAACTGAATTTGAATGTATACATTAGCAAATTGTATTGAATTGACTCATCTTGTAAATTACCTTGATTCACTATGTGAAGAAACTTTAAAGTTCTGTTTTATTTTATTTTTCATATCTGTTGCTTTTGTGCCCCCATTCCTTCATGCCGCCCTGGACAACTGCCCATGTGACCCACATTGGAAAAAATCACCGCTGGATGAGCTTCATGCTGCTTTTTAGTTGGTGACTAGAGGAAATATTAAACGTACTGCCAACGTTACACGAATAACCAAGACGGCAGTGGCACACAGCAGAGTCGTGTGAAGCTCAGGACTGTGTGCGTGTGCGCGCGCGTGTGTGGGAGTGTTGAAGTGGGAGTTGAGGGGGCTACAGTATGAGAAGTAACGTCGCTGGAGGAGCAGATGTGACGGCCGAACTGTTGGAAGCAGATGTTAACTAGCGGAGGAGACGTTAACGGGAATAACCGGATTATGAGGATTTGAGGAGGAGAAGTCGCCTGAACCCGGTGTCAAACATACACACACACAGCGGGGAGGATTAAGTTCCGGGCGCCGTCGCTCCTCTCACCGCGCTCCGGGGGTCTGTCATGGGCATCGACCGGCGGCGGAGAGCCTCCCTGGCTCTCACCTTGAACTTCCTGGCGCTGTTCCTGGCCGTGTCGGCTCTCACCACCAGCTACTGGTGCGAGGGCACGCGTAAGGTGGTGAAGCCGTTCTGCACCGGTCTGGTGACCACCAAGCAGGCGTTCTGCATCATGTTCAACAGCTCCAACATCAACGACACGCGGCTGGTGCAGTACATATGGGAGACCGGCGAGGACAAGTACGTGATGAGGAAGTTTCACACCGGCATCTGGTTCTCCTGCGAGCAGAACGTCAACATGACCGGTGAGTTCCGCCGGAAAGGCGAGGGGGACCGCGCGCGCGGAGCGGTGCGTCACGGAGAGCCCGGCACATGCAGAAGGGGACGGAGTCAGAGTTGTTAGATAGGATTTTAATCAAAACAGGTTTGATCAGCCACACCTCTGACGGGATTTAGAGAATAATCCGAGAAAATGCCTCTGCAAATAGATGGAAATATTACAGTTTAAAGTCTGCTTCTCAGTGTGGTGCTGCGGGTCATCCAGCGGAAATGTGGCGGAGCAAATTGTTTGGAATTTTATTAAAAAGAATAAAATAAAATAAGCTGATATAAAACTTAGAAGACAACATAAAACTATATATATAAAAAAAAACAAGCAAACGAGACAACCTACTTATCTCCTTCATGCATAGTGGTCACTGACGTGTGTGCGCGCGTGTGCGTCTGTGTGTGTATTTGTGGGTTATCTGGGTATAAACCACCTTACTTGATTGTAGTGTCCATCTGTACAAAGCCTCCTATTGGAAAACCAGTGTAAGTGCACAAGAACCACCCCAGACATTCAAGGCTGCTGGTCATCAGAACTGATAACATGTTGGGAATTTATTGGCTGTTCTGACATATGAGAGAAGGACTAGTATAATTATTTCATTTTCAAGGTGTTGATAATATCTCACAGTATAACAGCTATTAATCTTCTCCTCCTTAGGATATCATGCAGCACTGGTCCATCGTTCTTTAAAATCAACGTAACCCATTCTAGTGTAAAGATACAGAAAGCTGAAATAGTTGAAGTTGATAAGGAAGCTCAAGATTTTCCACTTTACAGACAATGGGCAAAAGAAAGCATAATATAAAATACTGAAAGTTGAAAATGAACAATATTATTTTGTTGTTTGTCATTAAATTATGTTGGAAAATACACTGTAAAACTGGAAAGACAATTTAAAACACACAAAAACATTTGTTCACATGGAAATTTATTTATTTTTTCTGAAAAGTATACTCTACAGCTGTTTTTAGTGATAGGATTGGACACATTTTAGAAAACACATCAATGTAAGAGCCAAGTGGCTCTTTATTCTTATTCAGCACCTATTTCAAAGTGGGTTATCTGCTGTTTTTTCTGTCTTCTTCCCTATTGTGTGGAAATCCTCCACTGATGACTTACAGGACAGTTCCTCAGAGGTGCTGGACCTCCAGCTGTGATTCTGACATTACAGAAAAAAAAACATTTGTATCTTCAGAACACCATAGGAGCATTTTGTGTGTGCTGACTCTGTTTCTGTGCTACAGACTTCCTCAAAAACGGAGGATGGAGGCGGAAAGCAAATCTCTTGACAAATTGGATCATTCCGAGATTTCTTCTTCTTCTTCTTTTTATTTATTTATTCATTTATTTTTTTATTTTCATGTCACAGTTTTATCCCCTCAAAGTCCACCTTTAGCTCTCTCTCTGTCGCAGTCTGGGAAAATGCTGGAATACAGATGAGGTCCCATTTTTATTTATCAGTGAGGTGCAGGGGTGGCTGTGCTGTCACCGGGTGTCAATTAAATGTCTCATTTACATTGTTTTTCAGGTGAAAAATGCCGGAGTTTCATTTATGTGGCGCCGGCGAACGAAAGAGGTGAGGATATATAGACACATTTTGAGTTTGATGGGAAAATTCAGACCCAGTTAATGTGTGCGTAAGACCTTGAATGGGTGAGACACAGGATGTCTCTGCCGGCTTTATTCAGAGGCTGGATTTATTGCGCGTTCTTCTTTAAATGACACGAGTTCAGACAGCTTTTATCAAAAGGATCTATGAGCATTACTCAAACTACTCTCACAGATTCTGCTCTTAAAAAAACGCATGGATTTACACTGACATTACTACACATACAGAGGTGGAAGGACGAAAAGGAGCTAACCACTTACTACAATTTTTTTGTAGAAAAACCTCACAATTATACACTTGTTTTTGTTGGACTCTTGTATAAATTCCAACAAAAATCCATTGTGGTTTTTGATATGATGTGACAAAATGTGAATTGTAACTTTCCCTTCACCAAACTGTTGATTATAATTGGACTTTAAGGCAGAAAATCTGAAAGCTGGAGGTGTAACATTGTTCCAGGTTATAAGTCTTAGTGTTAAACAGCGCAGCAGCATCTTTTGGGAGAAGGACTATAGACGTCACAGTTACAGAAGAAGCTTGTTGCTATAGTAATTTTTACAGAACCCAGTTGATGAGGCTAAAGAGCAACATAGTTTTCATCTTAAGGAGGCTGGTGTATGCTTTGGATAAAATTTAATAGCTGTGCCTTTCAGTAAAATGTGACCATGTAAATTTAGCCTTTGTAGTTATACTGTCCTCATTAATCCTAATGAAAGACTCTGTGCGCTGCCTTTTTTCACGGCTGAATGCCTCTGGCTTTTTAGCCTCACTTTAAAAAAAAAAAAAATCTAATTGTTCTGTTGTCTGGACGCTAGCTTATGTCGCTGCTAGTTGACCACGCCTCGTAGAACTCCAACATGTTGCTCAGAATTGGTCAAAAACAAAAGCACAGCAGTTTTTGTAGGTGAACGTGATGCAAAAGATTGATCCGTTTATCAAGGGGAAAAGCATGTTTCCTGAAGACCACGAAGTGGGTTCAAGCTACTTTGACTTTCTTAAAGAGATCTGACTGAACTAAACCTGACAGCAGCAGCAGCTTAAACCTGGCATCTCTGTGCTGTTTTCAATCTTCTTTATGCCAAATGATCTGCAAAAGTAAACATGACTCAATGCAGCAGATGTAGATTCCTTAAATGCCAAGGTTAGAATGTGCAACACTGAACTCTTAAAAACTAGACAAGTGAGTGAAAACATAAATGTTTGGACACAACATGTTGCATTTTGAAGGACATGAAGAGCTTCGTGCTTATGATAAAGAGATTGTTACAGACAAGTATTACAGCTTTTCATAGTCTTAATCCAGACAAATAATCTGCTCTAGATCCATCGTAAATTAGCATTGTGATGGAGTCAGGTGCGAAGTGAACCAACTTTGACACTGAAATTTCCGATGAACTGATCCTGCTCCGCTCTTCAAACACCCAACACTTAATGCATCTGTAAAGGTTACTGCTATTTCCATCGCCTCCCTCCACCAAATAAAATTAAACATCACAACTGATTGGAGCCAAAAACAAACACGGTTTCCCTGCTGTAAAAAGAAAATCACTAAATTTCTAAACAACTTGAAAATCTGTAACCAGGCAACTAACGGTTTACTTCTCTCTGCAGCATAAACTGGCTCCAACCGAGAACTCTATGAAACAACAGTTTGGGTGAAAAGCCCAATCAGTGGTAGAGCACTTGTTGTACATCTGAGTGCTAAAGTCTCTAGTTGTGATTACATTTACATATCATGGTACATGTTCATGGAGGGCACTTAATTAAATGCTTTTGATTGCAGATAGATTTTGTAGAATGTCTTTAAATATGCTGCGGTAACTGCACTTAATACTTTCTATTTGTCCATTTTACAGGTATTTATTTTATAAAATACTATAAAATCACTTGTGTAGAACTTTCTGGGATGTTTATGGCAACAGGCTTTTTGTTTCTATTTACCTGCTAATATCTCCTCGCATTTATCGTATCATTTATCTCGATAAATTTCTTAACATTATAAAAAGTTTTGATTTATCAGTGTGACAACGAATTCTAGTTAATGAGTCTTAAAACCAATTAAAATCTGTCAGCTTTACGAGTTTCTCCGTTGTTTTTTTTATCTTTTTTTTTAACTTACTCTGGAGTTTAGTGTTAAAAATCATACTTTTTATATATAACTTTTTGCAACTGGCATCCTAAAGAGTCGTATTTACAAATGGGTGCGTTTTTAAAGAGCAGTATTTGTGGAGCTGTGATTGCTGTGCCTCTCCATCACAGCCATACAGTTACCTAAAAAAAAAAAAAAAGCTGTAAATAGATCTTGTTGTAACTTTTACCATTATCACAACAGCACCACAAAATATGGTGATAAAACTTTAATCGCCCATCCCTACGGATCCAGCCAGACTCAGGACGGGCTGCGTTTCCTTACACATCGCTCTGAGTGTCCTCCCTCTGTCTGTGAAGGTTAATAATATGGGTGAAGGGGGTCACTGATCCACCTTTCTCCTCTCATCACTTCTCCTCATCCATCCTCGCATCCTTCCCTGTCCCCTGTCTTCATCCGTGTTTGAGGATGTTTTCCCTCACCCCCTGCCTCCCTCTTCCTCACCCTCCCACCATCCACTCAACCCCCCACCGTGTGGATGTCGGCTTGTTATTTGTCTTTGTGGTTCCTTCGTACTAACCTCCTGTCTCCATAGGAGTGCTGTGGCTGTGCATCGTTGCAGAGTGCCTGTACATCCTGCTGCTGGCCACTGGGGGCATCCTCATGTCTTTAGAAGTTTGTCACATCGGCAACGTCATTGACGGCCTGAAGCTCAACGCCTTCGCTGCCATCTTCACCGTGCTCTCAGGTAACCAGGTTGTCATGGTTGCGATACGGTTGAGCTTGAAATAATGAGTTTATCTACTCGTTCTGTAATCAACTTGGTATTACTCTGATCAGAGACGGGTGACGTGGACTTAGAATTTTATCACGATATTTTGTAATATGATTGCTATAGCAAGAAAATAGATGACAAAAAACAGTTTATTTCCACTTTTTTAGATAACTGCGTAATGTAATATTCATAGCACCACAAACTGCTCTTTAAAAACATTCCTGTTTCAAATAATATTCTTAAAGGCACCACATACTCAAAGAAGTGACATATCTCTAAGCTGCACATAAAGACTTCACTGATTTACTGATATCCATTGATGCTCTTGCAAAAAGAAAAAAAAAACGTGAGAAAACAGTATAAACAAACATTTTTAGTCAGTTGAACTGAAATTCTTATCATGGCAAGAATGTTTTTCATGATAAATGATAAAAGATATGATAAATGTTCACTCTATTACGACATATTAAGAAAGAAAACACAACATAGACATTTTTCTTTCATTCCTGAAAAATATCTAAACTATATCGGCATTTGTTTCGTGTGTTCTGATGATAGCGAGTTGCATTTCTCTCAAAAAGGAAGAGTTGCATTAAGGACACATGAGACGTAAACACAAGTTGAGGTGATTTGATTCGCCTCTCAACCAAAATTAAGTCGGATTTGTTGCTTTGATCCAGCAGAATGAAAATTGTTGCAACACAACACTCTCAGGATGCGGCCGAGGAAATCATGTGACTCAGTAAAATGATTTTTAAATTACTAAAAACCTTTTTTTTTTCCACTGGAACCTTCCATAAATTGATAAAATAACTTTTTCTCATGTCATGGAAACAGTAAAATCTGACAAACTTGCCACACAGCACATATGCTCACTGGTCTTTTAATACCTTAGTAATAAGAAGATTGCTTTCTTCTAGATTATAGTTTGTATAAAGGTCGTTAGAATAATGACTTTTATGGCAATAACATAGCTTAACTATGGTGAAATGTTTGAGGAAATGGTTAAAACATACTGGTTAGCTCCATGTTTAACCCACATGAGAATAAATGTAATGCTTCTTCAGGAATGAGACACACGACTGTGAATTAAACTGCACTCAGTGTTTAACCTGCAACACTTGTTGCTGATCTCCGAGATGTTCACAAGTCATTTTAGTCAAATCTCTAATAACTAAAATCAGCATTTCAAAAGCATTGCTGTAGGACTGACATTCAGAGCGTTGCGATTTCTTTCCAATAATCAGTTAACACATGAACATGTCACAGCATGGCTGTATCTCTGCAGACACTTTTGTCAGGGGAAAAATAAACCACGTTCCAATTCCATCTGTTTTGGCTTCTGCTGCAGAACCAGCGAGCGTTTAACTCTGCCTCCCCTGCCGGCGCTGATCCAGTCACACAGTCGGGCCAGCCGCAGCCCCACAGCCCCTTAGAAGATTTCCTGCTAGTTTACAGTCTGCCTCCACCTCTCAGCGGAGGAATTAACAATGACCTTCTCTATAATCCACTCTGTGAAAGTGATGCTGAGCTCCCGTCTCTGAGCTGTGAATCAGCAGTGAAAGATACGCGTCTCCACGGCGGCGACTCGCTGCGTTTCACTCACTTGACAGGTCAGATTTAGGAAGGCTGTAAAAAGAGTCATTTTCTGAAGAGCTGTTCTCATTTTACACTGGGGTCAGTCCTCAAAGCCAGCTAAATTCAGGCCTTAAAAATAAGGATTATACTCACTCATAATGTTGGAACAGTGTAAATTATAACCCGTCTTCAAAATAACGTTCTGACTTAATGTTTTCACACCTGATAGTCTGGTAGACTTGGTTCGATTGGGGACCAAATTTTTAGCTACTCTTTCCACTTTCACACTGCACTGTGTCAAACAATTAAAAACTAAGTAAAAAAACCCGTTCCCCTCCTCGCCTGTGGTGGCGCTGCACCAAGAACCACTTAAGGAAACGACATGAAAACCTCAGAAGAAAACACTGAGCGGAACTTCCTTTTTTCGCAAAATGTAAAAAACTGGAGTAGCGTGAGATTTTAGTGGTTGTATGATTTCTCATTTGTCCTTTGCCATTTCTCCCATTAGTGCTACACGCTCACGTTTGTTTTGGTTGTATTTACCCAGAATGCCCTGCATCATAGTTTGTTTTCTGCTTTTAGAGCAGTCTTCTGTCTGCTTTGCATATTGTGAATGCAAGCAGTAAACATTACATTGTGTCAAATTGTCAAAATCATCATTATACATCAAATATGTTGCTCAACTTTCTGTTTACTGCTAATCAAAGGCAGCTCTAAACAGGTGCGTCAATTTAGCTTTAGCTTTCCAGCGTTTCAACTGTTTACAAACTTTCTGGGAGTTTCTCTTTCTTGGGTGTGGCTAATCCAAACAGGGCTAAGTATTTACAGAAATGCATGGAGGATGGTAGCTGTAACATGAAGCTAGAGCTTCTCTAGCTAGCTAAATAGTATCTCATCAAACAGCCAGATGTCTCCTCCGTCTCATCAAACTGGGCCTTGAAATTGGACATACGCCTTTACGCCGCTCAAATGGCGCCTCACTTTCATCACAATCTGGTCAAACATGAAATACTTCAAGATATTTCTCCACCAGCTGTCGCCGTCTTCGATATCATTATATCATAACACAGAGCTGTCGGCCATCCTTCACTCCTACTCTTGTGCTTGAAGACGATTTGTCTTTTCATTCGGAGCTGACAGGGCTTGAACTCGGCGTCTCTGAGTTATACTCTCATGGTTGTGCTTTGGTGTTTTGTAGCTGCTCTAGCCAGTCGTCTGGAGAAAAGGAGGAGGCGAAACCCCTGAAGGTTCGTGTTGTTTCTGTCCTGCTGGAGAGCGAAAATCATGTTGTCGGTTCGCTGTTTAAGATCTGTCACCGTGTGTTGCCTTCTAAACAGCTTCCCAGGCTAAGCTGACAACATTGCAGAGGCTTTAGTGCACTTGTAAAATGTTTGAATTAAGCAAAGGCTTCCAGAAGCCGTTTCCTTTTTTTAATGGGATGAGTAGCAGGAGATAGACTATGGTAATGAGGTCTGGAGGAAAAATACAAGGGCGCAAATTAAAGTTTATTGCTGTTGTCAATCATGCATGATATGATAAGAAGGCATCTGAGCTTTTTCTTTTTTTTTTTTTTGGTGAGGTGACGATGGCAGAGGAACAAGAAGATCATTTTTTACGATATGTAGAAGCTGGAGCCCATTAGAGCTATGAGTCAGGTTCTAATTTTAACAGCAAAATGTAATCTTGGTAGAAAAAACAAAAGCACGATGTTTTGGGGGTTTTTTTACCCACAAAGATTTAATGTGACAGTAGCAGGAACCATACGCTACCATCTATGACTATTAGAATCTCGGGTAAAATGCGTTAAAATAAATGGTTGCTATGGAGACCTGGTGACCAACATGCCATTCTTTGATCTGGTTTTGGTGACAATGTGCCAGATCCATAAGGACGGATCTATGCATTCTAGATCTATGCCGTGCGCTCTGAACAACGTCATGCTTTATTGTTTATTTTACATTATATTTATAATTCCTAATCACACTTTCTGGACTATTTGAACAGTTTGCTGCAGTTTATTCTCTACATGTTTGACCATGTTTTTGTTTTTGTTTGTTTTATCAGTTTCTTATTCATGTTCTACTCCTAATTGCGATGAGTGAACAAATTAAAGTCCATGTTTGATCGAGCCTGTGAATCTACTGTTGTGATGTACTGGTGCAGAGTTGTCAGATTTTGTTATTCACTGGATTTATAAGAATCATTAAGAATCATTTTGAGTCAATTCAGCTCTGTTTTTCTGTATCGGATTGTATCGGCCTATACTGAACCTCAGATATCGGTATCGGAAGTAAAAGAGTAGATTGGTGCTTCCATAGTCTTCCCATCCACTAAAGTCCGACTAAACTAAGGTTTTTGGTGGAAAAGTGTATCCTAACTTGATACAGGTTCTGCCCAGACCCTGAACCAGCTAATGTGCTTTCTAGTTTCAACTGTTTGACAGTATCCCCAAAGGACGTTCCCAAATAAGACGGTATTGTAGCAGCAGAGAGAGAAAGAGACACTTCTGCAGAGCTTTTCCACCACACTCTGCAAAATGAGTCACCCACTCATGAACCTCTGGGAATCCCATGATTAGACTGCAAATACAAGTGACTCACTTAAGTGCAAAGGGGAAAATACAATTGAGAGATCTTTCCCAACACGCATCGGGATGAGTAGTTCCTCAGGTCCAATCAGTTTTCAGCCTGGAACGGAGCCTGCTGCTTTGATCGCTCTGTCGATTGCAGTTCGGAGACCATTTGTCACGTTTTTGAGTCACTTCGGTTTGTAACCTGCTAAATGTAAAATACTTAACTTCAACCGAGCATAACAGGAGGACGCCACTCTTCCACGTTCATGAATACACATGGAGGCAGTGAGGAGAGCTTCTTGCACATGTGAGGGCGGCTCGTGTTGAAGATTTGGAGGTAATTATTCTCCAAATGAAGTCTTGCAAAAGGACTCCTTGAACATTCTCACATCTTGTCACGTTCCAACCACTAAATTCATGTTTTTGTATTTTGTGTATTTTGTTTTACGACCCACACAAAGTAATGCCTAGTTATGGAAAAATAGGTAAAAGAAATCCTGTTTAAACTTTGGTATAACTGGAAATCTGAAAGGTGTAGCATTCAGTTGTCATCGGTCATTCTAAATGCTATACAGACCAATAAACCACTGATTTTACCTCATGATGAAGGATTCTGCTTTAGGCACTAGATGCTCTCACTGTGTTAGTCCTAGTTTTCTGACGCTGTTTAAGACAAACACCCCCACAGCATGATGCTGCCAACATTATGTTTCTTATGTGTTTTTCAGCTTTACAGTTTGGTCAGTTCAGCTCAATTTATTCTGATCATGAAAAAAATAAGATTATTTAAAGGCTCTTTATGAGGAAGTCCAAATAATTTCCA